ACAAAAGAGTGTAGTAAAAATTTTTTAAATTTACAAAATAAGTCATTCTATGTGTAGGTTTCAGAAACTGCAAAGCTATACATTAATATTGCGTTATTTAACTTTAACCCAACACTTTACATATAGTTTCCTTGCTTAATAAGTTTATGCTTATTTTAATATCAGCATGTTATTCATAAACTTATACATTTAGTAAGAATAAACAGTGAGAGAGGAAAGCACGAGCTCAATTAAGGTCTAAAATTACTCAAGTGAAAATAATGAAATGATTGGTTAGCATATACTGTTTTTGAACCAGCATGACTTTTAAAAATATGTCATAAAAGAAACACAGCTGAAATAACTGGCACCTTCCAATTGCAAATAACCAAAGTAGCAGTTTGCCTACAGTATAAAGGGCCAAAAGTTACTTTCCCCAAATTTCCTCTGTAATTGGCATATAGAATAAAGTGGGACAAAGAAAAACACTCCAGCTCTGGCCGGTTCAGTTGATTGGAGCATCATCTCATATATTATAACAAACTGTGCAGGTTCCATCCCTGATCAGGGCCCATAAAGAAGGCAACCAATTGATCTCTCTCACTCTCTCTCTCTCTCTCTCTCTCTCTCTCTCTCTCTCTCTCTCTCTTCTCTCCCCCCCCCCCCCTTACCCAAGTCAATAAAAAACATGTTTGGGTGAGAATTTAAACAACAATACTCCAGTTAGTATAGTAGTCTCCACTTAGCTATGGTTTTGCTTTCTTGGTTTTAGTTATCCACAGTCAACTGCAGTCTAAAAATATTACATGAAAAAGTCCAGAAATAAGAAATTCATAAGTTTTAAATTGCACACAGTTCTGAATGGCATGATGAAATCTCACATTATCTTGCTCTGTCCAGCCTTGGACATGAAGCATCCATCCCTTTGTCCAGCATCTCCATGCCGCATATACTCCCTGCCTGCCGGATAGTCACTCAGCTATCACCTCTCAAATCATCCTTATTTTACTTACGAATGGCCCCACACTGCAAGAGCAGTGATGCTGGCAATTTGGCTTTGCCAAAGAGAAAGCCTCAAAGTGCTTCCTTTACGTAAAAGGGTGAACGTTCTCAACTTGAGAAAGAAAGAAGTCATATGCTGAGGTTGCTAAGATCTACAATAAGAACGAACTTTCTGTTTGTGAAACTGTGAAGGAAAAAGAAACCTGCGCTATTTCTGCTGTCACATCTCAACCTGCACAAGTTACGTCGGTGGTGTGTGACAGGTGCTTAGTTAGGATGGAAAGGGCATTACGTTTGTGGGTGGAAGATATGAACAGAACGCCTGTTCTTATTAATGACATGTTGGGCCAGAAAGCAGTGTGTCTATACAAAGACTTCAGCTAGGTGTCCCTTAAGATGAGTGATACCAATCTATTTACTGTAAGTGAGGGGTGATTACACAAACTCAGGACTAGGTTTGGACTAAAAAATAGAAAAACTACTGGAGAGGGGGAGGGGAGAGAACATTCACCTGTTTTATGTATATTGTTATAACTGTACTATTTTATTATTAGTTATTGTTAATTTATTACTGTGCCTAACTTATAAATTACACTTATCTTAGGTATGCATAGATAGGGAAAAACATAGTATGTTACTATCCACAGTTCTAGGCACCTACTGGGGGGTTTTAGAATGTGTCCCCCTTAGTGTAATTTGAATAGTCCTTTTGCCCCCTCTGATCACAAAGACATAAGATGGACACTTAAAGCAATTATTTCCACCACACCTTGGATTAAGAGGTGCAGCTTCGTATTAAGCAGTCATCTGTCAATTGTGGGGGTAGGGGAGTGGGGGAGCGATCTGTAATACTTTCAACAATAAAAACAAAATTTAAAAAAAGAAGTTATCTGTCAAATAAGATGAATTTTTGCTTCTGTTTTTCCAGATTTCACTAAGATTCAGTTGGTAGAGAACTTAAAGTTTCTGATCATTTATCCAGGCTATAATTTATCTTAGTTTTCTTTTCTTTTTTCACACAAAAACCTCTCTTAGGTTGGGGACTTAAAAGTTTTCCTGAACTCAAGCAACTTACTGTCCAATTTAAATGATGCTATCTGGGGTATAATATATCTGCTGACAATTTGCCCCATTTTATTAATTGATGTGGGTGTGTTTTTTTTAAGATTTTAAAATTGATTTTTAGAGAAAGAGAATGTTTAGAGGAAGGAGGGAGAAAAACATCAATATGAGAGAGAATATTGATCGGCTGCCTTCTGCACACACACACACACACACACACACACACACACACACACACCGCCGCTGAGGTCAGGTACCTTTCCCTCCAACCACCACAAAAATAGAAATAACAAAACACAGGCGGGAACTTTAAGAGAAGGTGGGATCTTAGGAGTGCTGGGTGCGGAGAATGGCCTTTTGCTTTGCTAAAATGAGGAATAGTGGGTCCCGGGTAAGACAGAATTCATCTCCTAGGCAGCAGAGTGCCAGGAGAGGTGCCATCAGGGTGTGTGTGGGAGAGCCCCGTGGGCATGCTGGGCAGGCCTCCCCTGCAGTGACCAGTGGGCTCTGGGACTCTCCCTCGCCGTCCATGGAGAGCAGTCACAGCTGCTACCGGATTTCATTAGTAAAACCTCATCTATAGGCTGAGGATGCTGCCCTGCACCCACAGGGGTGTAGTCAGAAGAAAGTGAACTACTGAGTGTGAAGATGTTTGCAGTGTCTGACATAGAACAGCCATCCCAGAAAAGATTTTTGTTTTTCATGTCTCAGAAAATGGCATTAAGGATACTTATTATACAAGTGAGAAATGCTGGGATCCAATCAGCATATTCCAGGTATCAGGTGAGGCTTCCGCTAAGTGAAATGTGATGTTGCCCTCTCCCTCCAGGCAACCCAGAGCCCTTGGGCTGTGACCCTGGGGACCCTTTCTCCTCTCCTTGGACCCAGGCCAGCTCCCTGAACTCTCGTCTTCTTCCTGAAGGCTCCCAAGGATGCTTCCCTCAGTGGCAGCCCCCTGGGCTTTTTATTCCCCGAAACAGGATTCTTGCAGCTCCCACTTTCTTAGAAAGCCTTCTATTTAAAGGATTTATTATCGAGAACAGACACTATGAAAGAAGAAGGCACAAAGTCCTGGTCCCCATGTCCAAATCCAGGGCCAACAAATATAAAGCCCTTGGGCTTCCGCTCTCTCTGCCTTCTCCTGTGAGGGAGGTTTCCAGAGAGACCTCCTCCTCACCCCCATATCAAAGGGAGGGTGGACTTAGTTCAATCTTCTGAGAGATGTCCATAGTTGTTGATTTTTAAATAACTGAAAATTATATACTATAAGCACATTTCCTTGTTTAGTAATTGAAGTAGGATTTCCATTTTAACTCCTCACCACAGGGTGTTTGCTGTAACTTCAGAAATTGTTCAGATTTTGCAAAATTTGATATATTACTGTGATTATAAAAATATACCCTAGGGTTGAGTATATTTAAAACAATATGACTTTCAGTGCCATTGTTAAGGTCAGAGTTTTTTTTCATATATACTTTTAGTATTTCAGAGGGAGATATCAATAGAAACATCAAAAGAACCATTGGTTGATTGCCTCCTGCATGCTGGCAACCTGCCATGTGCTCTGACCAGGAACTGAACCCGGGACCTATTTCACAGGTTTTCCTTGAGACAGAAAGGCTGAAGGATAAATTAGGGCTGGGTTCTTTAGATGGTTTGTTTCACAATGGACTCTTCAGTCCTTTTCCTTTAAGGTCAGGCCTTTGTTAGGGAGAAGAGGCTCAGTGTTTCCCTGTGACTGTTTCCCCAGACAATTCACTCAGGGAGCTTTTTGGAACCCTCTTGGGAGCCTTCCTGGTGAGGTCCCTGAGGAAAAGTCTGAGAGGGCCCTACACCATGATTGTTGCCCCGGTTTTCACTTTCATGTTAGTTTGCAAGCAACCTCCAATAGTCAAAAGATTGTTTCAGTACTCCAACAAAATTGACAGCAGCTTGTTTCAAGTATCCTATGGCTGTGATTCTCTAGATTTGGGGATGGTGGCATGCCCTGTGATCTCAGTTCTGACTGGAACAAGAAGTTGACATCAGCAGTAAAGAATCACCATTGGCTCTTAATGCTTCATCTAGTAAATTGTTACAATCCTAACTAGCTAGCAGTTAGGGCGAAAAGCAGAAAGGAATCAAACAGTGGGGTGTCTATTAGCATTTAAGCTAGGGCATTTTAAAAAGGAGAAACATCGTATGCAAGGTCAAATCAGTCCTTCCTCCCCCAAATTGGGTATGTGCCCTGACCCACCTTTTGGTATACAGGACAATGCTCCAAGTGAGCCAACCTGGCCAGGACTAACCTAGGGCATTTTTGAGACTTCATTTACATGGGGGAAACGGACATAAACCAGGACTCTCCTGTGCAGATTGGGGTGTTCGGGCAGCAGCTATTAATTACCAAGGTTATATCATAAAAGACAATAAAGCCTAGGACAGTGGTCGGCAAACTGTGGCTCTTTCAAAAAATACCAGGGCCTGGGTGAGTCTTTTTTGAAGTGGCGTTAGTGCCTTAAAAAATTAAACCACTCGGCTCTCAAAAGAAATTTCAATCGTACTGTTGATATTTGGCTCTGTTGACCGAGTTTGCCGACCACTGAGCTAGAGTACCTTTTACTTTTCCTACTGATTTTATAATCTCTAGTTTTGTGCATCTCCATAGATTTTCAGCACTGTATACTTTCAAAAATAAAAAAAACTCTACTTTTACAAAGCTATTTATACCAATATGCTCAGATCTCTAGCCAGAATTAAAACGAGGATGTCCTCTTGTAAATAAGGATAACATCATTCCTAATTGTTTTATATATAAGGAAGTTCACATCACATCCATTGTGTATTTAAAGTCATGCCAGAAACCTTTCACCCTACATATCTAGAGCCCTAAGATCTGCCATTATCATGAATAAAAGTCAACAAAACTTAACAACAGATAGCCAATTTATTTAAAAAAGAAAAAAAAAGCGCCTGATTTAAGCATCTGCAATGGTGACTTCAACCTCCACTCCCGGCTCAATGCTGATGGAAGTGATCTGCTTCACAATCTCGGAAGGGCTGTGCAAGTCGATGAGCCGCTTGTGGATCCTCATCTGAAAGCGATCCCAGGTCTTGGAGCCCTCCCCACAGGGGGTCTTCCTCGTAGTGATTCTCAGCGTCTGCCGGGAAGAGAGGAAACCAGGCGTTTATGGCTTTCTGCTCATCCCCGGGACCTCTGGAGGGCGATGCTCAAGTGCTCCCTCTTCAAAGTTTCCCAGGGCACCACCCCTCTGCCCATAAACAGGTTTCGGATGTCCCTTCCCCCTCGGCCCCTGGAGCTGTGGCTGTAAAGATCCCCCACCCCCCAAAGCCGCCTCTTAAAAAAATCAGATGCTCAATGGGAACCACCCTCTCTTCCTGCAAACGAAAACTTTGGGCAGCCAAGTCCTTCTCCGGAGTCAGATCTCGGACTTCCACACCCACTGTCATAAGCAACCCCCCTGGGGTTTACTTCACCTTGGTCGGCATGCGGACTGGGCCTTTCACTTTGAGATTCTTCTCCTTTGCGCCTCTGATCAGGTCAGCACACACTGCGGAGAGAGAAGCACACACCCCCGCCCCGGTCAGTTCACCGGAGGAACCACCCGAGCCGCCTTAGTCGCCTGCTGCTGTGCTGGCTCAGAATAGCGTACAGACCTATCACCGCCACTCAACAGGCAATCGTCTCCTCATCGCCAGCGACGGGGCATGAGACACGGCAGGAAACGAAACACCCCCTTTTGTCTTCTCAAAAGTGAGCGGCTTGTGTGCCTTTCCTCCTCGAACAAACTAACCTCCAGGCCCTTTCGGCCCCGAGGCCTCCCGCCCCCCCACCCGGAGGGGCCACTGACCCTTCTCCAGGGACTTGACGTTGCGGCTGGTCAGCGTGATCCGAATGCGGTGAATCGCCACCTCGGGTTCCACGGGCGTCTTCCCGGTGTCTTTAAAAGCCTACGGAGAAAAACAGAAAAAAAAAATCTGTAAAGCCTGCCGCTTCCGGGGCCAGCGTTACCACCGGCTCCCCGGGCCCCTCCGCCATGCCGGGGCCCCGCATGAGTGAGTCTCGGCTACTCACCGCCTCCCCCCAGCCCGGCTGCCGGCCCCGGCGGAGCGCGAGGCGCGGGCCCGGGTCCCGCGGTCGCCGCCACCGCGCGGCGCCGCCCTCCGCCTCACCATGGCTGCGGCGCGGCTTCCTGACCGACTTGTTCCTCGGCGAGAGCGAACAGCGGTGAGTCAGGAGCGGGCGGGACGGAGCTGCGTTGCGGCAACCGCGTCTTCCTCCAAGAGGAAGGCGTGCAACCCGCGCGAAGCTTATATAGCCGCGCTCGCGTCTGCTTCCGGGTCCCGCGCTGCCCCGGAAGAGGAATAGCCCCGTTTAGCGCTGGAGGCTCCAGAGGCGGCTGCGCGAGCCGGGGGTGGGGAGACGGGGGACGGGGGACGGTGGGGGGGGGGGGGGGCTGAAGCGCCGCGGGGGTTGGCGGGAAAAGCGCGGCCTCGGGCGCCCCCTGTCGGCCTGGCGGAGTTAGAGACCCTGAAGATGGCCCTCCCCTTCCCCAGCCTCGCCAGCGCCAGCGCAGTACCGGGACAGGGAAAAGGCGACCAGCCCTAAAACCTGAGACACTTCTTTCTGGAGAACTTAGCTTCGGCGGAACAACTCCTGTGGTTTTTACAGTGCAAAATTTGCTTCCCACGCAAACCGAGTCACTCGTTCTCTGAGTACGTGGGTAAATTTTCTGAGTTTAACTCACCTGGGGATTTAGGAAAAATGCTTCCGATAACCTGGGCATGCTATTTTTTTCAAAATTAATAGGTAGTTATTTTTCATAGACTGAAATATCCGTTGGCCTCCTAGACCTCTATAAGCATCTACATCTGTTTCTAGAAACCACTGCATCTTGGGAAAATGAGGGATTTTCCCTTCCAGGAAAATGAGGGATTTTCCCTGGAGCAGATTGTATATCTGGAGGCCCAGTCTGGAGACTCAGACTATCTACCTGATTCTAAGACATGTTATCTTCTCTCTCTTCCCATGAAGTAATGTTGGATAGGACCCTTCAAGATCACCTTAATACTGAGCATATATATATATATATAAAAGCCCAGCAACTGGACCGGCAGAGCCACCAGAACCACCTGTGGCTATGACACACACTGCGGCAGCCTACCAGCCTGATCTGGGCCTGGATTGGGGATGGGGCCGGCCAGCTGCCCACGGCTCCTCCTCCCCAGCTAGCCGGCCCCTTAGGTCCCCATTTGGGCGGGCAGGGCAGACCCCACCTATGCACAAATTTGTGCAATGGGCCTCTAGTCTATTCATAATCAAGTATGGGACAAAGTACAGTGGAAAAAGCAAGAGTAATCAACTGACCTAGGCAGTCAGGAGTGTAGTGGGTACACATATACAGTAAGCCCTCGATTTTGTGGATCTCAATTTAACAGACTAATGGACAAAATTTCCTATCCCTGTGTCATATGTGAAAATTAACACCCTATTAATTTTAAAATGCTTTTAACCAAGATTTGCTTATAATTAAATCAACAGATTATTTTTTTTTGTTATTAATTCACTTTTATTTCTAACACATTTTAGCAACAAGGCCATGTGTTGGAAAAACCATTGTAGTGATTTCACCGACGTGAATATTACCTCTCTACAACTATAGTCTACATACTTATATCCAAGAGTCGTGGCTTATAAACAATATCCAGCGAACAGTTAGCACGTGGTCACTCGGTATTGGTTCTGTTGTGGCCTTCCTGCAGCAGTTGTAACGTGGGCCTGTTCCATGTTCCCGCTGGCTGCGCTCAGCCACGTGCCAGTTTGTGCATTTGTTTACTCGCGGTGACTGGTGGATTCACGCATTTACTACACCTGTTCAGTATAAATTTAAAATTACAGTAATACACATAGAAAGCCTTTCTGTGAAATTAAGCTTTATATACACAATTCTAATTACATAAACGTGCCTATGTAAGTAAAAACAGGTAAACTAACTCATGTGTCCATTTTTAACATACCCATTTGGAAAACCTACTTTATTACATAATGGACTTTCGGGTTTAACGGACTCCTCCTCGCCCGAATTAGGCTCTTATAGCGAGGTTTCATTGTACCTAAATATGAAGGGCTGTTTAAATAGCATGACATACAGAGCAGAAGGAAGAGTAAAGAATCTCATTATTTTACATGTGAAACTCTGAATGCAAAAGAAGTATTTGCTCAGACAAGAAATCAGTGAATGATAGAGCTCTGACCCCTCCGATAAGGACTATTTCTTGAACCTTTCTCTCCGGTTCCTTGGGAGGAAATTATATTTGAAATGCTTATAAAATAATAGTATTGTTTTACTTATTTGGTGATTACTGGCTTTCTTTGGCTTACAGGGAATATATATATATATATATATATATACATATATATATATATATATATACACACACACACAAGATTTTGCTGCCATTTAACAATTCATTTACATGTGAAAATTGGATATTGTCCAGTGGAGTTATTCTAAAATGTCATCCATTGGCTGTAAATATTAGAATTTCCAGAGAAACAAACAAACAAACAAATAAACAAATAAAAAACCTGCATTCCTACTGTATTGGCTGTAATCAAAATGAGACTTCATAGTTTAGGGATTTAACTTAGCAGCATAAAGTCATCAGCAAACAAAAGTGCAATTGCCTAAGCTCCCTGGGATGTGATCAACCACCATTGCATAGTACTGAAGGTGAATGCATATTTTCACAGCTTACAGCAGCATTCTTACCAATGCTCAAAGGACAACCAGAAATTCAATGATGGAGGAGGAATCTGGTGATTTGTTCCAATAACAATATCTACATCTATCCTTTGGTTTGCATTCCTCTTTAAGCACTTGAGGAAATGGTGAACAAATTAACTTCCCTGACCGTAGAAAAAGCATTTCAGTATAGACAAAGGCAGAATGTGGCCAGGAATGCATGGGAAAAATTGTGGATGTGACTGGAACTAAGGAAACAGCTGGTTAAGATAATATGAACAAATGTAATGAAAACCCCACTATTTTTAAGTTGATAAGTAGTTTCAAATATTTTGGTGTATTTTTCTCTTGAACGTTAGCAGCTGCTATTGTCCCCAGATCTTAATGTAATATGTAATATTTTAATATTGGATATAATATATTCATTAAAGAAAAAAGTAGAATTTAAAAGGACGCACAAAAGAAGAAAATGCCACCAGTCAGAGGTAAACCACTGTTTATACCTTCAAGTGTATATATATATCCACACACATATCTTTATCGTCTATACAGGATTTGGTAAGTTGCTTTATTCACAGAATATTTTGTTACAATAAACATACTTCTACAACATCCCCTTTAATGACTGAACTATATGAATGGTTCATCATAACTTATTGAACTAGTCCCCTATTTTTAGACACTTAGGGTATTTTAAATTTTTTCTCTTTTGTAAACAGTACCATGAGATACATACTTCTAGAGCAGCGGTTCTCAACCTTTCTAATGCCGCGACCCTTTAATAATACAGTTCCCCATGTTGTGGTGACCCCCAGCCATAAAATTATTTCCTTTGCTACATCATAACTGTAATTTTGCTACTGTTAATGAATCGTAATGTAAATATCTGTGTTTTCAGATGGTCTTAGGCGACCCTGCTAGCGGTTCCCAACCTGTGGGTCGTGACCAGGGTTGCCTCCATTGATCGACAAACTCATTAGTCAACAGTGCCAAATATCAGCAGTATAATGATTGAAATTTCTTTTGAGATCCAAATTTTTCAAACTTAAACTTCTCCTAACACCACTTCTTCAAAATAGACCCTCCCAGGCGGTGGTCTTTTGTGGAAGAGCCACACTCAAAGGGCCAAAGAGCTGCATTGTAGAATGTTTAATGACATTTCTGGCCTTCACCCACCAGATGCCTATAGCAACCTTTCCCCCCCCCCCCCCCAGTTGTGACAATAACAAACCTCCAACGTTCACTTCCCAGTAGCCCCCACCGTGAACCGCTGCTGTAGATGAATCTTTTACTAGTAGCTCATTTTAAATGTCTTGGGATTGCTACATATACTTATGCTTTGATAGCTTAATCAAAGAATAAGCATATTTTAAATACTTTGGAATTGGATAAATTGCCCTCAGGGAAGGTTATACCAAATCAATACTTCTAGCAGTATGATGGAGATTTTGATTCTTTGTAAAACTTAAAAATACTCTTAAGACCATTACAAACTTTGTTTTAAATAGCTCTCGCCATAACCTTCCATTACCAGTTTTCTTCGTAGTTCTGTACAGTTAGTTGTAAAGACTTTTACTGCAGTTATTTGTGTCTTTCTGCGTTCGGCCATCTACTGGTCTGCTGCTGCAATGACAGTGTCGTCATTCTACTTCCAAGAGGAAATTTACAGCAGCGAAAAAGAAATTCAGGGTACACGTGTGTATTTATGAATAACATTATGACTGCAAAATGTCAAATGAAGGTGGATGACTCTGTTTAGACACTGTTGGCTGAAACGTTGGCCTAAATAAATTTGTGTTAAAACGTTGAAGTCTGAAATTTAAGAAAAACCAGAGAGTTTTACCAAAGAATGCTATTTGCCTTCTTTTGTGAGAGGATTGGAACCTATGGCTTTAACCGCACACTCATTCTGCTGGGTTGCTTTTATGTGGTGGACAGCCTCAACTATGGCCCCAGTGGTCCCCACCACCTGCTATGCACGCCCCCTGGAATGCTCTCCATTTGAGTGTGGGAATCTGTGAATTTGACAAAAGTGCCAGGATGTCACGTCCCTGAATAGGTTACAGAAGATTCTGACTTCTGTCTTGCTAACAGACTCTCGCCCTAACTAGCTTTGATGAAGCAAGCAACCACATTAAGAGTCACTGTATGCAGAGGCTCAGATGGCAAGGAAATGAGGGCAGCCCGTGACTGACAACCAGCAAGGAACTGAGGCTCTTGGTTCAACAGCCCCAAAAGAATTGGAATTCTGCCTGGCTAGTGTGGCTCAGTGGTTGAGCATCAGTCTGTGAGCCAGGGCACTTACCTAGGTTACAGGTTCCTCCGTATCCCTGGTGCAGGAAGCAACTGATCAATATCTCTCTCACATTGATGTTTTTCTCTCCCCCTTCTTACCTCTCTTAAAATCAATAATAATAAATAGACTCTTTG